ACACAATAATTGTATACAAGCACTGCTTCAAACACCAACACTGTACATTACATTATAGCGCCAGTAAATGCCGCAGCGCTGTACAGATATGCAACCTAGAAATTTTGACTTGGGGTGCCTTGAAAAAATATTGAAATATTAAGGGCGCCTTGAACCTAAAAAGTTTGGAAACCACTGGTGTAACTCATTAACCTAAGCAGCTTCTTCCATACGATTAATGCATTTACATACATTTTAAGCTTTTGAGTGCATCACTCACATTGCTTAGCAATGTATTGGTCACATATATTACACTCAAGGGGTTAAACTAATGCAATAAAGTTCTTGGTTGTGATTTTTATAAATTTGACAGCTATTTTAATATTTTATACAAGTCCAATAGATGAGGATTGCAGAAGGGGGCAGAGTCATATTCCATGGGTGGAGTCTGGCACCCCACAATCTTTAAATTCACTAGCTACCACTGGCTCAGTTTGTTTGTTTGTTTTTGTGAGATGCATGTAAATTAGGTATTCTCTTGGGCAGGGATTGAATATGTTCCCTGGCAGTGTACGGAATTAATGTTCCCCAGTGTGAATGAAGTTAACAAATTATTTTCGGGATCTAAAAATACCCACCATTTTTATTAGCTGAATTTGCAAAAACCCAATGTCCGTGCTAATGTAATTGCGGATTGGAATAAGAATCTATGCTTGCCATGTCTGCCCCGAGCTCCTATCAGGTTCCCCAGACACATTGATGCTCTCTTGTAATCACTATAAGCTCTGTGTTGGAAATCCAAAAATTACTGGCTAGGAGGATAGTGCTAAATCAGGCTCCTACATTAAACATAGATTTGCTTTCATCTTTAGAATCTACTGTAATTAACAAGTCAGTTTGATGAATCATCTTTGCGTTTTTGTTTTGTGTTTTTTTATTATTTCAGATACTAATCTAGTAAAAATGCAGCAATAAATATATCCATGTACAAATCCAGGCATCGCACACAGGGTTTCTTAAATCCAGTCTGTAAAAATCTGCCATTTATGTTCCGTTCCACCAGCTGCTATCCTTGGGAATGCATGACATCATATCATGCTCAGCTGTTGGTTTATCACATAATGGACCATTTCAGATTTAAGCTGTTTATAGTTTTTTCTTCCCAATGAATACTTCAGGGATATATTTTGGATCTTACCCATCAAATTTTATATTCTAACATATTTTGCATGGTTATCAACGCTGTTAGTCCTGGCGTTATTTAAACAAGTATTGGAAGCAGGTGGGCTCTTAATGATGGGCGTTGCAGTCCAGTTACAACTTATATTGGACATTTTAATATTGGGGAAGGTATTTTTTTTTTAATTGTATTTGGAAGTGACAGCTATTAAACCAGGCAGATTAACTGGTTTAACCTGGAATTACCATAAAACATTATTAGATCAATTTGTTTCATCCTGTTATATATCCTCCACACAGACAAACCAATCTTCTATAGATTAATGATTTAAATGAATAAAAATTATTATACTGTTAATTGGCCCATCATGAAGCAGGGATGATTTATTTCAGTGGAATGAAAATACAGCATTTGTTGAAGTTGTGTGCTATTATCTGTGCAGTGAGATTACTAGGTACGTGTCCTGTTAACCAATAATTGTTACTACCATGCGATTGCTGTGAGCAGGAGTCTCGTAAAGTCCGGAACCTTTAATCTCAGGGCAAGACCAAGTCATGCATATAATACTAATACATAAAAACCGGAGGCAAACAGAGAATAACGAACATGAAAGGGACTGCATTTTGATATTATTTGAGACCAGTGCCTCTGTGGATTTGGGGTGGATGTGAGTCTATATAAATCATTAAAATGTAAAATATGTCTTAAACTTGAACATCACTGTTTAGTAGATTGCTCCCTCCTAATCACTTTTTACATAAAATAATTTATACACAACGAACCAATACTTTTCCATTTATAGTCTTATTAAAGCAGTCAGTCTGTTTTTATGTGTGTACATGTATTTTCAAGAGGGGGGTTTTTAGGGTCTCCAGATGGTGCTCAACCAATGATCTGTCTCACCAGTACTCTGTATAAACTGCAGTCTATGAAAGGAAAGTGCAGATATTGAAGGCAGTAGCGAAATACTGTTTATTAATAACAAACACAGTGTCTATTCACAAACGAGGTACTTGTTCTTCAAAGTTATATGTTCTCTGTTAGTTGGTAAGAGCAGTGGTAACATCACTGCCTTAGAACCGGCATAGCAAGTTTACATACTGGTCATACCACCCTTTACTCATTTGTGAAAGACCTTCTTTACTTCTAAATAAACCCTTTTTGCAAACGTAAAGTTCTATAGAATATGTTGGAGCTGCTTAAATACAAATAATAATGCAAACTTTCCTTGGTGTCATTTGTATTTTCCTTCAACGGGTGCCTCAAGGTCAAGGCTTACTGTTTCTAATCCTGATCACTTGACACCCATCACTTATGCATACCTTGGACCTCTGTCTCACTTCACTAGGGAATGGGTGTGAGTACAGTTTCCTGTCTTAAATGAACCACACACAACTTCACTGACTTTAGGTTGATGGAATGTATCCCATCAGTGTGTAATAAAAACCTATCATGTAACAGGAGACCCTGAACTCATTAATATAATAAATAATAAGTAAATTATTTAGGATAAGTAAGCCAACATGCAGAATAAGGTCATACAAGTACAGGAAAAATAGTAGAGTGCAATACATATTACCGGTACTTAGAGGCTTAACGTGCAAAGAACAAGAGACAGAAATGTAAAAAAACAGGCCAAGGTCAAGGGCAATAGAGATCCACTAAATCGATAAACATGCCAAGGTCAGGGACACAGAACACAGTAGTTAAGACATGCTATGATCAATAACAAGCAATCAGACTATAGAAAAAAAAAACGCAGTCTCCGATAACCAAACTGGAAACCATGACAGGACACTGAACAGATGTAAAACTCAAGCATTTATAGGCTTCCTTGATAGCCAATCCCCCAAAATGTGAGTGGGCGTTAGCAATGATGTAATTAAATCATGACATGGATATGGCTTAATGACATCATTAAAAGGGGGCTGTGCTACAGTGTCTGGCATCACAAATAGAGGTAAAGGTGCCTGTGGATATTTAAACTAATGTGGTGCCTACCTGATCAGGTAGAGGCACCAGGTGAGTGCCCTAGTGCAATGATATATACAAATAAATCTTATTCCTAAAGCAAATTTAAATTAAATTAAAAAGAAAATAAGTTCTTGAGTATCTATAATATAACCATGGGTCAAGAATGAACGTAAGTATAATAATTCATTGGTATAGGTTCATTCAATAGGTACACCGAGGAATATTACAGAAAATGAAGCTATATTAAAGGGACACTACAGTAACCAAAACAACTTCAACTTAAATAAGCAGTTTAGGTACATAGATAATGTTCCTGCAGTCTCACGGGCTAAATCACCTTTGTTTATACAACCCTAGTCAAACCTCCCTGCATGTGACTTGCACAGCTTTCCTAAACACTTCCTGTAAAGAAAGATAGATATTCTAGGTTATTTTACGGCATAGTCTGTTTAATCTAGAATTTTCTATCTCCTGCTCTCTTAATAGCCTTCTAGAGCCTGAAAGAGAGATAATAACTTCTAAAGCAAGTTAATGTGTGATTGAAAATGAAAGCATTTATGTGTATGCAGGCTGTGTGTGTTAACTCTTAAATGCCAAATAATTGAGCAGTGAAACTGTAGGGACATGACCTACACACCCAAACTCATATAATATTGTCCCTGTAAACAGAAATGTGGACATTAAAATATTTGTTTTTAGGGTTATAAGATGTTAATGAAATCTTACATTGAATTAACAATATAATAAATTGAATGTATAGTATGTGCAATTAAATATTACATAAATTGAAGCTACATGAAAAAGGAACATAGAATTGAGCAAGTGGGAAAGTTAAAAGATATTGGCGATCTACTGAAATATCTAAGCAGAGATCCACTGATTAAATCTTAAACAATATTACAATGAATCATAAATATTTGTCTCTCATTGTTTTATATTTTAAAATTTTAGTTCCCTATGCTAATAAGTTTACAGTCACAAAGTCTGAACACAATTTGCTAATAATTTCATTTACAAGACATTTTTAATTATTTTCCTTTAGTAACCCATCGATACTTTTCCCATGGGTGCAATAGTGACTTAAAGGGACACTATAGTCACCTGAACAACTGTAGCTTAGTGAAGCAGTTTTGGTGTATAGAACATGCCCCTGCAGCCTCACTGCTCAATCCTCAGCCATTTAGGAGTTAAATCCCTTTGTTTATGAACCCTAGTCACACCTCCTTGCATGTGACTTGCACAGCCTTCCATAAACACTTCCTGTAAAGAGAGCCCTATTTAGGCTTTCTTTATTGCAAGTTCTGTTTAATTAAGATTTTCTTATGCCCTGCTATGTTAATAGCTTGCTAGACCCTGCAAGAGCCTCCTGTATGTGATTAAAGTTCAATTTAAATCTTAAATCTTAAACAATATTACAATGAATCATAAATATTTTTCTCTCATTGTTTTATATTTTAAAATTTTAGTTCCCTATGCTAATAAGTTTACAGTCACAAAGTCTGAACACAATTTGCTAATAATTTCATTTACAAGACATTTTTAATTATTTTCCTTTAGTAACCCATCGATACCTTTCCCATGGGTGCAATAGTGACTTAAAGGGACACTATAGTCACCTGAACAACTGTAGCTTAATGAAGCAGTTTTTGTGTATAGAACATGCCCCTGCAGCCTCACTGCTCAATCCTCTGCCATTTAGGAGTTAAATCCCTTTGTTTATGAACCCTAGTCACACCTCCCTGCATGTGACTTGCACAGCATTCCATAAACACTTCCTGTAAAGAGAGCCCTATTTAGGCTTTCTTTATTTCAAGTTCTGTTTAATTAAGATTTTCTTATGCCCCTGCTATGTTAATAGCTTGCTAGACCCTGCAAGAGCCTCCTGTATGTGATTAAAGTTCAATTTAGAGATTGAGATACAATTATTTAAGGTAAATTACATCTGTTTGAAAGTGAAACCAGTTTTTTTTTCATGCAGACTCTGTCAATCATAGCCAGGGGAGGTGTGGCTAGGGCTGCATAAACAGAAACAAAGTGATTTAACTCCTAAATGACAGTGAATTGAGCAGTGAAATTGCAGGGGAATGATCTATACACTAAAACTGCTTTATTTAGCTAAAGTAATTTAGGTGACTATAGTGTTCCTTTAATACACTTGATCCTGAATATCACTAAAATGTAATGCTGGACTTTTGTCTACTTAGTAACCAATGTGGATCTGGTGTAAATGCACACAAGTGCCCTGTGTTTTCTTTACCTAATCTCTGTATTATCTATTAATGAAGATCTTTATAAAAATCCAGGAGGTGTCAAAACATCAATATGATAAAAAAAAAATGTTTTTTAGAGAAAGCTCATTAGCGGATTCAGCTTTTACTTTTCTGAGTGTGGTCACTTTACTAGCTACACCCGTACACATGTTCATAAATAAAAATTTCTAATCTGCCAATCATGTAGCAGTAACTCAGTGCATAAAAGCATGCAGCAATGGCCAAGAGGTTCATTTGTTATAGTTCAAATCCAAACATCCGACTGGGGAAATAATGCCATCTAGGTGACATTTACTGGAATGATAGTTCCTTCTTTCGAGTATCACAGAAATTGTGTTCTATGGACAGACGGGTTTAGAGTTTAAAGAGTATTGTACAAAAAATTCTAAAACATCCAGTGAGCTGCATATAGAGTAAAATTCCTTATGAATAAGAGAAATCATTGGAGAATGGTCAGACAGTTTCATGCTGACATTAATGCATCCTATTTCCAGCTACTAAATGTCTCTTATGCCCAGTGGCGTACATATCGGGGTCCCAGGGGTCGGAGCTGTGAGCGGGCCCATCTCTCCAGGGTGCCTTGTTTTGTTGGCCGCCGTCCAAGGGGTCCATCGGCATGGGCCACCAATGGGTATTGATTTTCAGGGGGCCCAGTCAGCGCTTCTGGGCCCCCTGTGATGACATCACAAGCTGGGAGGATCAGTTTACAGAGCAGTTCTTTTCATCCTTGAGCAGCCATGTTTTGTTGGCCGCCGTCCGCCGTCTTTTCATCCTTGAGCAGCCATGTTTTGTTGGCCGCCGTCCAAGGGGTCCATCGGCATGGGCCACCAATGGGTATTGATTTTCAGGGGGCCCGGTCAGCGCTTCTGGGCCCCCTGTGATGACATCACAAGCTGGGAGGATCAGTTTACAGAGCAGTTCTTTTCATCCTTGAGCAGCCATGTTTTGTTGGCCGCCGTCCAAGGGGTCCATCGGCATGGGCCACCAATGGGTATTGATTTTCAGGGGGCCCGGTCAGCGCTTCTGGGCCCCCTGTGATGACATCACAAGCTGGGAGGATCAGTTTACAGAGCAGTTCTTTTCATCCCTGAGGAGAAACTACTAAAAGGGGTTTATTGGACAAGATTCTATTACTGGTTAGGGTCTGCTTTTAGCTACAGGCAGTCACACAAAACAACATAAAACATGGGAACGGTAAAGGTATGGGATTTGTTTTGTTCATTTTTTTAATCAGTTATATAATGGGCCATCATTTTTTCTCTGCCTATATAATTTTTTTTATACAAAACTGCAACAATTGTGAAACTGTAGCTTAACCCTTGCGTTTGTGTTTAGTGAATAAAACCATTTCAAGTTTCAGAGAGGCCATGAAAGCAAAATACTGTTTTAAACTATACTGTAGATTTATGTTTATAATAATATACCTTTATACTATACTATGAGTGTGAAAAAAGCAGATGCATTAAAATGGCCAAATGCCCTGCTCACCGGTAGTTGTCAGAAACCTGACATACATCTCCCAGAAACACAACCAGAATGTAAAAATAATGTCTAATTCTGGGCTTAAAATTCAATACCAAGCATCTGTACCTTGCATGGTTTTGCAGGCTGCTTTTTCAGTCTGTAAAGAATCCCCTTAGTGTACAATGTGCTCAGAGCCCACACTCCCTCCTCCACTCTTACACAGCTGCTAATTAAATGCAGCTGTGAAGTTGGACCTAGAAAGGTAGCTGTACAGTGACTAGAGAGAGAGGTCCCTTTTATAGTACCTGCCACTTTATGGTTACAATTTTATTTTGCTATATGTTAGCCAATGTCACAGCAATTCAGCTTTTTATTTTTGTCAAATCATTTTGTCAGATTTTAGCTTTTTGTTGTTGTTGCAGCTCTATCGGTTGAATGAAACTGGTTCAGTTAGATCATTTTTACTAGTTTTTTTTTATGAAACTGTAGTTTACTATTCAGCATAAAGACTAATGACTAGCTAAAAGGAGGAGTAGAGGGAAAGATGAATAATATAACTGCCAGTATTTTCACGAGTAGCTTGTTGGGGTTTTTTTGTCCACTACAGAGGCAGAAACCCAGTTCCACATCTGCAAATATTCAGTTTTTCTGAATGATGCTTCAAGGAAAATTAAAACCTGTGGTTTATCTTAAATCAAAATGTACTGTTTGTGAACTCTGGTTGTAATCCATCTGAACACATGGATGTATTTATTTTGAAGTTCTGTGGTTATGCAAGCATTATCTGAGCAAATATTGTCATATTTGGTCATTCTGTTGTTTTCCATTAGATTTTTGCCAGCTTTTCAGTTATCTGATGCACAGAACCAATTTAGTAAATTGCCTCTATTCTCATCCCTCTCACTATCATGCCTGTCACAAAATGTCCACGCTCTGCACAATCTTTCGACAGATAGTGGAAGGCATTATATTTGCTTTCTCAAATAGTAAATATTTGGTCACTTTGCCAACATCTGCACAGGGGATCTGCAAAATTAGAACTGTCTTTTTGTCTTTCATGAAACAAATTGTCATTTATCAATTAGTTTTTTCTTAGATTTAAAAAAGAAAATGTATACACCAAACAAAGTAATGTGAAACATAACATATGTAACAATGAAATAGATATAATGAAAACATTTTTTTTATTAATTTGACATGTAAATATACATGACCAAATAAGTATATCAAAAAAGTTGCTGTGCGGGGGCGGAGCTAACCACCATACCACACGGACGCACGTCTCCTGAGCTCCGGCAAGACGGAGGAGACGTCCAACAATCAGACCCGCATTACTGCTTCTTTCACCCTCTCTGAGACACCATCTGACACAGGAGATAATGGGGAAACACTCCCGAAAGTCCAGAGGCTCGGGAGGAGAGCATACCTGAGATATCGGGCTTCTACTTTCACAATCAGGTAGGCCCAAAATGGCTGACCTGATGCCGAACTCACTTCATGGCTCCACATCAGTCTCAGAGAATGAAGCAGGGGAACCAGCAGAGCTCCGGCCACAGCCTTGAGGCAACAAAGCTCTGTTTAACCCCTTAAGGACCAAACTTCTGGAATAAAAGGGAATCATGACATGTTACACATGCCATGTGTCCCTAAGGGGTTAAACGGCAACCTGAACCTCAGTGGGCTACTAAATCTGATATCATTACAATGACCTCAAAACCTTCTTCTCCTCTGAAATGGCAGTGCTAAAAGCAGATCTGAACAAGCTGTCTGGTAGAATCAATGCCACTGAGGACAGTATCCAGAGCCTGGGTGCCCAGCAAAATGCCACAGCACACCAGCTCCAAGAGGTCTCTAACGCACACACAGCGCTCAGTGTTAAGGTAGGACATCTTGAAGACGATTATACGACAATGCAATATGAAAATCAAGGGGATCCCTGACATAATTGACACAAGCAAGCAACCACAATATATCAGACGGCTACTGTCCGCCACACTACCACTCTAGCAGGAAAAGAACATACTGCGGGAGGGAATTTACCGCTTGCCAGGGAACTCCAACAACAAAACCTCGGTTCCCAGAGATGTAATTCTGAGTTTCAGGGCACGGTCTTACAAAGAGGCTTTCCTGGCCACCACAAAAGGCCAGTCACCATTTATGTTCAAACAACATGAACTTAGCTTTTTCCAAGACCTCAGTAGATTGACGCTGCAATGGAGGGCATCTATGAAAGAGGTGACAACCCAATTGCGAAAAGCAGGGATCCCATATAGGTGGGGCTCACCAAGGGTGCTCAGAGTGGAACAGGATGGGCAACACTTCAAGATAAGTTCTGTGTCACAGGCAGACTCTTTCCTAAAGTCTTTGGGACTTACAATTGCCACTGCCTCGAAGAGCAGCAAGTCTACTCATAGCTGGGACGTGGATAATGTGGGATCTTTACACCTGCTGGTTCTACGGCTCCGGGATGAGGCAACAACAGGGACATATACGTACCCATTTACCTGTGTTATCTACATCATGTTTTAATCATTCTCAGTTGAAGTAGTTTTCTTTTCTTTAATTTTAACTGCTCCGCTGCTCAGTTACTTACAGTATATGCACTCCAGTGGAGTCACCCGACTACTCTGAGCGTATTAGCCTTAGTATATGTGGCTATTATAGCAACTTACCCACCATCCCCTCGCCCCTCCTCCCAGACTCAGACTATCGACACTACAGCCTGTACTGTACCTAACTTATGTCAGTTAAGCTTTAAATGCACATACTTAATGTGATTATACTGTTACCTTTATATGTGATGACAACTGTAATGCATTGTCCTGTTTTCTTGAACTGAAAACAAAAAAGTGCAGTTTTCCCGTATTACACTGCGACAGAAATTGCTCCTCTTATCGTAAAATGCAATATTATACTGTACCACTGCACGAAAAAATAAAGAATAAAAAAAAAAGAGCCAGCACAATTTACCTAATTGATTTAAAACTGTTTTAATATTTTGTTTTAATATTTTGCTTAAAAGGACAGCAGAAAAAAATGAGAAACAATTCCAAGTTCTGCACTTAAAGTATAAACCAGCAAATGGCAGAGCTCTTTCTTTCAATTGGAACACATTGTGATTTTGATGACCTCTTTGTAGCCTACAGAAGACAAGGCTGTAAGTATTTTCAATAATAAAGCTACTTGAGCAAATAGCTATGTTTTCATGAATGAAATGACTTATGCTGAAGGTTAGTCACAGTCTTGTTCAACCACCTCAAATAGTTCAACTGAATTCAATAAAGTTTGACAATACAATGTTTACTTTATTAAACAGAGCACATCAACCTTCCCTTTCTTTTTGAATGGTAC